GCTTGAGCAGGCGGGTTGGACCAGATGGTCTCCAGAGCTGCCTTGCAACCCCAATGGTTCTCAAAAAGTGCTTCCCAAACTGCTGCCCGTTTTGGCTCTTCCCCAAGCCGTCACATAGATCTATGCCTAGTCCTCTCCCTCTATTATTATCTGATGAGGAGAACGATATGGGGAGGTAGTTGAAATTAAATTGGTTTTTGCCTGCCTGACTGCCTTTCTTTTGATTGTGATGGAGCACGTGAGGAGGAGGCATTCAACCTGCAATAGCCTTAAGGCAAATATTCTGCTTTCCGGTGTGATGGGGGGAGTTTTAGTGAGCACATGGGTACCCAGCGCAGTGTCAGTCCCTGCTCTCTGGGTGGAAGAGTAGTGTTTATAATGCATACGCTATGGTTGTGTTCATGCTGAAAATAGCATTTATGATATATGTATAATCAAATCGCTGTTAAATATGTTTCACAGAGGGGAGGGGTCGAAAGTGTTGGGCAGAAATGGCAGTTTTTTGGTAGTTGAGGCTGCAGGGCACCCTGTGAGGGAGGATGCCATGAGCTGTCCTGGGCATGTCACAGCTGGGTGCAGTCAGCTCTGAAATGGATAGTAACAATGCCCCACAGGCCAAAACTTCAGCCAGACGCATATATCGCACCCCCGCTCAAATATTTTTAAGATAGAGTCCCAGCAGCTTGGGGCAGGTGATACCAGAGGAGCCATGTGAGGGGTACAAGAGAGCAGACACAGGAGAGGACACAAAAGGGGACACATGGGGAGAAACATCATGAGGTGTATTTGGAGCAATGAAACTGAGGAGGCACACAGAACAGGACACAGCTGGAGGCGCGCTCTTGGAAGGAGGTATGCATCCAAGGGACTGCAGCCCATGGAGACACCCATTCCAAAGCAAAGGAACCAAGTAAGAAGTCTGGAGCAGAAGAAAGGAACAAGAAGCACAAGCAACAGAAAGAAATGAGCAGGCATTAACCCCAACCTCCTGCATTGACTACCACCTCTCCAAATGCAGTTGGAAATTCAGCGACACCTCCCCGGAATAGAAGAATCAGGTCAGAGTCATTCAATATGAATTAATGCTCTTTATTATAGCGTCTGCATAGCAGCCCCAAAGCTTTCCCCTAGTGACCTTTTATTTCCCCCCGAGCTATCACACGCCACTTCCAGTGCTTGGATTGGTTAGGTCTCTTTGTCCACGCGCATCCTCCAGCAGCCTGATTGGTCTGGTCACTCAGTTCACAAGCTATCGCTTGTCTCGTTCCACTTACTCTGCGACCTCCAAATCCAGATCCAGGCGGTGGATTCAGGCATGTAGCTACTTGCTCTTGCTCAAGCGGCTAGGGTTACTCTAAGTCAAACAAGAGTTAGAGTAACCTTGCATAAGGACTGCACTAGGTCAAACACAGAGTCAGTGTATTTCAAACACAGGGTTAGCGTATTTGTAGTGCCCAATTCCATTAACCATACTTCCACCTCATCCAAAAGGATTGGGAGGGCCTGAGTGTAATGGGCAGTAAAAACAAGGGGACTGCAGGCTAGGAAGATTTCCCTTGGCTGAACTTCATGAGGTTCCCTTCTACCCAACTCTCCAGCCTGTTGAGGTCCCTCTGAATGTCAGCACAGCCCTTGGGTGTATCAGCCACTCCTTCCAGTTTTGTGTCATCTGCAAACTTGCTGAGGGCACACTCTGTCCCATTGTCCAGGTCAATGAAGATGTTAAACAGTACTGAAGCCAGTATGGACCCCTGGGGTACTCC